ACAAAAAGGAAAAAAAAAAAAAAAAAAACATTACGTGGTTAAATTAGATGAACACAGCCAAACTGGGAGTCACTAAAATTGTTTTTTCAAAGTTAGCATAACTTATAATGTTTTTGAAAGAACAGGTACTATCTTGAATTCTTCCCAGTATTAAAAATTAACAATTTCATTTTGAAATAATATAAGCTTTTATTTCCAGATAGGATAGCATAAGTCTACCTTCTTTGGTACAATACAAACTTAAAATAATGTATGGACAGATACATATTTTTTAAAAGTAACTAGAGTAAGTATCCAAGTGCCTTACAACGACAGTACATTAAAGTACTCATCCCTTTTTCAACATCTCATTTAAATAAAAATTTAAAAAGCTGTTATTCCTTAAAATTTCCTCAACCTCGGGCCGGCCTGGCGCTTGGGAGCGCAGCGCCGCTCCCGCCGAGGGTTTGGATCCCATATAGAGACCGGTCCGCTCACTGGTTGAGCGCGGTGCGGACGCGACACCAAGGGTTGCGATCCCGTTGCCGGTCACGAAAAACGACAAAAAGGAAAAAAAAAATTTCCTCAACTTCATTAGAATTACTTGATTTAAAGGTCTCTGAAGTAGACAGAACTATTAAGCATCATGAAAAGTAAGAAACACAAGGATATAGAACAAATAATTTCATTCTTCCTGATAACATAATATATGAGAGTCACCATCTCTCAGCTACATCATATTTTTCTTACACCAGACTATGATAAAGAATATTAATTCCAAGTGTGGAGCCTAGTATAGTGTTCAGCTGCATTATTGCTCTAATCTAGTTTGTAGGAGGAAAAAATTCTCAACTACTGTTGTTTCCTAAAAAATTAGTCCAATGAGTCTGATGATTTTTTATCATGAATGGAAAAATGTGTATATCAGCGGAATTCTTATGGTTTTTTTATGCTTACTTCCCTTTTAATGTCAGTGTCACCACTAAAACATATAGGCAGCTTTCAACTTAATAACACCCTCAATAGGACATCTCCTGTAAGAAATATGAGGGTTCTTCAAAAAGTTCACAGAGGTGCAGGAAAAAAAAAAAGTTCATGGAAAGACTCATATTATCTTTTTTTTTTTTTTTTTTTTTTTTTTTTTTTTTTTTTTTTTTTTTTTTTTTTTTTAAAATTACTGTTACATCTACATTTTAACCAGAAGCAGACCTCCCCCAACTTAATTCTATACTTGGGAAAACGGGGGGTTACAGAGTTAAGGAACTTTGCAACACAACACTATATGGATGAATAAAGAAAATATAAAAACGAAAATAGTGTTCTTTTTTTTCCCCAGAGTAGTGTTTCCCTGACTTGACAAAAGTAATAACTTCAATTTGAAGGTAAATTAAAAATGTATACAATGCATTACCTTTAGGATAACTTGTGGAATATATGACAATGAAATTTAGCATTGTAAGCTGATTAAATCCAACTTTGCTATTGATGATTAAGTTGTTTGTGCAGTTATGCATAGCTGACAACTGTAGGAGGCAAGTGAGAACTGTATGAGAGTACTTCAAAAAGTTCATGGAAGCATTGGTATTATTTTTCAATTATATTTTTCCACAAACTTTTGAACTACCCTCCTACCCAAAGCCTTAATAGGGTCATCTGAAAAGGACATAGGAGCCAGCTTGAAAGGGTTTCCACCAACTATATATGGACAATTAAATCATCAAAAAGAAAGACGACTGAGTATAAAACAATGAATACATAAACCCCCACGAGGCCACAATGAAAAGAGGGTAAGAAAGAAAACTCATTGCCACCACTTGAGATGAGTTTTAACACCAACTCCTTACTCTGCAAATTGGTGAAGGGAACCCCCCGATAGATAAGGGAAATTCCTCTCTGCAGAACCGTGACAGCTATTAGTGACCTTAGGAGGGATGATACAATTAGAAAAGCTCTCGTTCTGCAAACTCCAATGAAATAATTGACACAGGCAAGAATCACCTACAAGTTGGCAAATTTTTTCTGTAAATGGCCAAAGTGTAAATACCCTTTGTAGCTCACAGATGGGGTCTGTTATATATTCTCTCTTTTTTTAAACAAGACTTTAGAAACCCTTGTACCAGCCAGGCGCCAAGGAAAAAAAAAAAGCAAACACCATTTTTAGCACAAAGACCATACAAAACCAGGCCATGGGCCAAATCCAAGTCCTACAGTTTGCCAACCCCAATCTACAGATATTAAATCAAAGATCGCTATACAACAAGATAATTACTGGTGCCAAAGTATCATCCCACAGATTATTTGCACAGGGAAAAAATATTCCCTTATTGTGAAAAGATCTATGGCCACCACTTTGTCCAAGTAATCAAATCAAAGTAACTCACCATATGCTTCCTAACACAATGCAATATGAACTACAAAATATCATCTCTAATATATTCTTGCCCAGAACCTTTAGACTTAACTTCTAGTTTATAGTTTATATGGCAGATAAAGGAACAAGATAAAGATACAAGAAATCAAGACAAATCCAGAGCACTGAGCATTCCAAAATAACCTATAAGTCAACTAGCCCAACTTCTTTAAAAAGTCAATGTCATAAAGGAAAAAAATAAAAGCAGAAAACTTATTCTAGAATAAAAAGATTAGGGTTGGCTGGTTAGCTCACTTGGGAGAACATGGTGCTGGTAACAACAAGGGCATGGGTTTGGATCCCCATACCGGCCAGCTGCCAAAAAAAAAAAAAAAAGATTAAAGAAACATAACCAAACATAATGCATGAAACTTAACTGCTTTTTGTTTAGGAAACAAAAAAACCTTAAAAGATATTTGGGGGACAACCAGGGAGTTTTGGACATAAACAGAATATTTAAGTGCTTTTTCCTAGATGTGACAATATTGTGGTACCATAGGAAAATATTCTAAGAGGGTGTGCTTTAAATATTAGGAGGTGAAATGCTATAATGTCTGCTAATTACTTCAAACAATTAAGCAAAAAATGTGTATATTTGTACACACAGGTATGCAGATAAATACGGTAAAATGTTAACAATTGTTCAAGGTAGTAAGTATATAAGTAATCATTGCACTGTTCTTTCAACTTTTCTGTGTATTTGAAAATTTTCATGATAAAAATTTGGGTGAGCAAAGGAACAGGTAACATATAAATACTTCCTACATTAAAGTTATAAACTATGCCATTCTAAAAATTCATGGGCTGGTGTTGGAGATTTCCCTGCCCTTCCAGTAACTGATCCTTAGCCACACCCCAACTCCACAGTAATCTATCCTATCACACCTCTTTTTTTTCCCTTTTACTTTTTTCTACCCTACTCTCATTGCTCCTGTCAACTAGCCACAAAGCCATGGGAAACATCACCACCAGAAACACTGCTTCCTTGAGCCCTTCCACAGAAACCATCTCTCTTCTTGAGGCAATGGAAGGGGAAAAAAATGGTATTCAAGTCCCAATTTACAACTGGGAAAACAAAACCACTTAGGAAAAATATGAGAAAGAAAAAAATAAGAAATTACAGGACTAAAAGGTCAGATACCTACAAGAAACATGTAGCTTGGGAACAAGTTTGTTTTGGTATTACCTACTAAGTTTAATATTCACATACCCTTTACACCCAGAAATTCCATTCAAAAAATATATACCCTACAAAAACTTATGCACATTGCCCCTAGACACATATATGAGAACATTCATAGCAGTGTTTTCAGAAACTAAAAACCAGAAATAAGGGCCGAGCCCGTGGCGCACTCGGGAGATGGCCGGTGCGCTCACTGGCTGAGCGCAGTGCGGCCAGTCTCAAAAAAGACAAAAAAAAAAACCCCAGAAATAACCCAAATGTTCACCAAAGCGGAACAGACAACTGTACAATATCCATACATGAAATACTATGTAACAATGAAAATGAAAAAACTAGAGCAATATGGAATAAATAGTACGAAAAACTTTAAAACACAATGTTAAACAAGAGATTACACAAATGGAATTACACATAAAGTTCAAAAACAGACAAGGTTAAACTATATTGAGGATGCATACTCAGAGAGTAAACTATTAGCAAAAAAAAAAAAGCTAGTTAGCAATGTTGTATTTTTTGACCTGATTAGTGATTACATGGGTGTTCACTTAATAACTTATTATACCATAATCAGTTCTATCACTTTGCTATAAGTGTGTCATAATTTAAAATAAAAAGTGCAATAATTTTTTAATACCAATGAAGTAGGCATCTGTAAACCAAGGCTAACTATTATTTTAAACATTGTTTCTATACAGAAAATGTGAGACTATCAATCAATCAATTTGCAAAAAAACATTTAAAACTCAGCTCATTCATTTGATACAGTATGGTTCAATGAGTAATTTAAGGTGCTATCAGCAGACTATATGCATATACAATGTTACTGGTATTGTTTATGTCTCAAAAACATTTTCTTCCATTACAAATAAAATAACGGGATTAGTAGTTCTGACATTAGTTTTAAGTCCACAAAAAGCTTATCTTTGAGTTTCCTACTCACTGAACAATTTTTATCACTAAAAGCAATAAAATAAAAATACTTCAAAGGGCTGGCTGGTTAGCTCTGTTGGTTAGAGTTTGGTATTGATAACCCCAAGGTCCAGGGTTGAATCCCTGTACTGGCCAGCCACCAAAAACAAACAACTTCCATGAAGCTATACAAGTAGCGGTGTTTTTTCAAGGATACTTAAGCTTCCTTTCAAGTTTTCTGGAAGTCCCCCGCCTTTTAGAAGAATACTCTTATTTTAACTACTACAGAGTTACATATTAGTCTGAAGCAAAAAGCAAAGATACAGTGCATGTAATACCTTTCTGCTGTGGTTGCTGCAATAAGGGCTGTGGCTGAGTCTGCAATAGTGGTGTAATAGAAGCTGCTGAAATCTGTGCCTGTAGCAGTGACTGGGGCTGGGGCTGAGCCTGAACGCCAAATGTTGTCTGTGGTGTGATTGGCTGAAGTACGGCAGGAGGAGTCTTCAGTAAAGGTTGGGTTTGGGATTGATTCTTAACAAAAAAAAAAGAAATAAAATGTTTTAAAAAAGAAAAAAAACCCCCTGCGAGTTAGAAGACTCAATAACCAAGTTTCTATAATACCTAACTTTTTATGTTATGTACCTGATTTGGTAGTGTTTGAATTCTTTGTGCATTCCATTTAAAAGGCATATTAGGATTATAAGTAGCTTCCACCAATACTCTGTCACCAACTTGGGGGGTTTTCCCTTTGACAGCACTGGAACAAAAAGAAAAGAAATTAAGTTAAATATAAACACAATCAAAATAACCCCCCCCCCAAGATTTACATACATAGTATTTTAAAGTAAACTCTAATTGAAATGGAAACCTGGTAAGCTCTTTTAAAAAGTAGATATACCTCCTAGACCCATTTTAGAACTGACCGCGTTTTATCCTCTGTGCAGAAATAATTTATCATCCCATATTCTCCCAATATTGTGTCCCTCCCTCTACAGCACCTTCTAACTTTTATAACCCAAGAGAGTTTTGTTTTGGGTTTAGAAAGATGAGGGAAATGCAGACAAGACAGAAAACAGGAAGCCCACTTTCAGAAAAATCTTATACAGTAATTAAATTTCCCAAATGTACTACTTCTTAGAAATATATTTAGTTAGTTAGAGTGCAGCCTTATAACACCAAGGTCATGGGTTCAGACCCCCAAACCGACCAGCCACCAAAAAAAAATCATCATCATCGGAAATTCATATTTCGTGCAATCACCACAAAGCTATCAAAGTACTACTATGAATATGTTAATCTAGCAATCACTTCACCCTATTAATTTTTCAATTAAAAAAACAATTTTTTATTCTATCATGTCATGAGATATGTCAAACAGAAAATTAGATTTTAAAAGCCATATAACTATTTCAACTTTCAATCTCACTGTAAGTCTGGCCATGAATATTGTTAGAAATGCCATCTGACTCCTATACAACATTTATAAAGAATTCACCATAACTAGAGTTTGTTGAATAATCAAAAGATATCGTTAATCACATTCATCAAAAAAGGTAACAGGTACAAATATAAGCTGAATGATTAAAACAGAAAATTATAGCTTAGTACAATCTTTGCCACAATTAGGTAGGTGCTTTATGCCAAATGTAAGAAGCCATTTGCCAACACCTAATGAAGTTTACCTAAGCTGAAAGAACACATCTTCATCCACAAATCCAAAAGTATCATGTAGCTTTGTAACAACCCCAGTGAAAACACGCTGCTTCTGAGGTTGGGTTTGCTGCTGACTGGACCTTGGTGTTGGATATGATACAGTTATCTGTGCCGCAGGCTGAGGAGTAGACAGGCTAAGGCTTGTAGGGAGTCCCACAGGTGACTATAAAACAAAATCAACACCAAATTAAGGTAATGATTTGAAATTGTCTAAAATTTAAATTACTTAAAACTAACCCAAACTGTTAATAAAAATAACTTATATAAAGAAAATATACATGTACATCAAGTCTGAAAAATTGTAAATTATTCTCAACCTATTTCATCAAGTTCCCTTAGAAAAGTATTTTCATAAGTTGCTCTAAGAAAAAAAAGATACGATAGTACAATGAATTTAAAAACACTGCCAGGCTGGCCGGTTAGCTCAATGAGTCAGAGAATGGTACTGATGACACCAAGGTTAAAGGTATGGATGCCCTTACTAGCCAGCCACCAAAGTTAATTAATTTTATAAAACACAAACAAGCCCCCCCACACACACACAAGCTGCCTGTTTTAGCCCTCTCTTAGAATCCATACTGGCATAACAAAGACTCAGGAACATCTTCAATATACTAAAGGAACTCAACATTTCTAAAACATTGACCACAAAATTTTCTCATGAAATTTCTTTAACATCTTAAGAAACTTACTGCTTTATGGACACACTTTCAGAAATGCTGTTCTAAGAAAAGAAATCTCTACAGCTTTTCTCCTTAATTTGGAAATTCTACTGTTGGGAATTGAAAATATGAGACAGGTGTTAAGTTGATTTTAGTTCTTTAATAAAAACAGACAGTAAGGTTGATTTCTCAATTGAAATGTACTTTATTTTTTAAAAAGTAATATATTCAAGACTAAAAAGGTACAAAAGATTCTCTCTCTTTTGGGGGGTGGGGGATGCGGGGGGCAGCTGGCCAGTACAGGGATCTCAACCCGAGATGTTGGTGTTATAAGGCTGTGCTTTGAAAAGCTTTTCTATCCCTGTTCCTTGGCCACCTAGCTCCCTACCTGTGAAGCAATCACTGTCACCAGTTATTATTATAGAGCTTCGTGGAGATGTTTCATTCCAATATACACATACAGATAAAGAGACAGACAAATATCCCCCTCCTCCCTCTTATATAAATGGAAGCATATAATAACATACTGCTCTGTTCCTTTTCTTCTACTTCACATATCTGGGATATCATTTCATACCAGTATATAAAGAGATTCCATTTCCTTTTCAATAGCTACATAGTATTTCACTCTAGGTACACACAGCCTGTTTTTGTACAGTTTAAGGTAAAAATGGTGTTTACGTTTTTAAAGTGCTATTAAAAAAAAAGAACAACAACATACAACAGAGACTGGAAGTGGTCTGCAAAGCCTAAAGTTAGCACTACATATCAAAAGTTCAAAACTTTTGGGGCTGGCCGGTTAGCCTAGTTGGTTAGAACATGGTGCAGATAATACCAGCGTCCGGGGTTCAATTTTCTATACCAACCAGCTGCAAAAAAAAAAAATGTTCAAAACTTTTAATGTTGCTTAAAAATTAAGTTGATAACACAGTAACTTCACCTGGTAAGGGCAAGCTAAAAAAATAACATACATGGGACGGCCCATGGCTCACTCGGGAGAGTGCGGTGCTGATAACACCAAGGCCCCGGGTTCGGATCCCATATAGGGATGGCCGGTTAGCTCAATGGCTGAGTGTGGTGCTGACAACACCAAGCCAAGGGTTGAGATCCCCTTACCGGTCATCTTTTAAAAAAAAAATAAAATAAATAAATAAATAAATAAATGACATACAAAAAATTTCCAAAAATCATACAAAGAAAATGTAAAAGCAAAAATCAGTATTAAGTTTAAAGTAAGACTTTGCATTTACTCAAATTATATCACAGCTGGACCTGCAATTAAAAAGAATAAAAGAAAAAACAATAACACACCTTCCACCTTTATTTAGCATTATATTGCTAAATTAATATGTCAATCCAATAAATACCTTTAAACCCTTAAAGAAAAACTAGAGTAGGAATAAAACTGTAGTCTACTTTTGATTCAGATAGCCAAAAGAAATAAAAGGAATGCCAAACTAACCTGTGTTAAAAGGGTCTGCTGGGGTTGCTGTAACTGAAAATAGGGGGAAAAATACAAAAAAAAAAAAAAAAAAAAAAAAAAAAAAAAAAAGATCAGAATTATTGTTTCAAAAATGCTTTATAAAAGGAAAAATTCCTATTAACCTGTTACTTTATTTTTAAGAAAAATGTGAAAAATAACAGAGGTCCTTAGGTATAAGGTTTCCTACAACTATTTCTAACAACTTGCAGCCCTGATATGTAAGTAACTCTTTTAAAACAGGCACTTAGCTACATTTAATAAAAATAAATGATTTTTTGTTATTTCATAAGAATAACACCTACAAAAAAAAAATCCCCAAGTCCCTAAAGATTTCTAGTTCCACATGTTAATTACCATGCTACAGAAATGATTTAATATCATCAGTACACTACTTCCTTGAAAAAAATATCACTGGCCATCCAATTCATCATTCTGAATTTAGGTATATACTTATATATATGAGTATATGCATATGAGTATATCCCTAAAATAAGCAGCACTCCTGATGGTCAGATTTGCCATAATAGGTATAGGGACCATGAAGGACCATGAAGCACACTCTGACATATGGTTTTTCTGGCAATAGCAAAACCTACCATTACCAGAAAATAAAAAGAATTGGTATGGGGAGGTGAAATTTTAAAACTCTGGAATACAAATAAGACTTAGGCTAGGATAAAGAGCCTATATGAGGCCGGCCCGTGGCTCACTCGGTAGAGTGCGGTGCTGATAACACCAAGGCCACGGGTTCGGATCCTATATAGGGATGGCCGGTTTGCTCCATGGCTGAGCGTGGTGCTGACAACACCAAGCCAAGGGTTGAGATCCCCTTACCGGTCATCTTTAAAAAAAAAAAAAAAAGAGCCTATATGAAGTTCTAATTCAAAATACTCAGTTTGGGCCAGGCTGTGGCTCACTTGGGAGAGTGTGGTGCTGACAACACCAAGTCAAGGGTTGGGATCCCCTTACCGGTCATCTTTTTATTAAAAAAAAAAAGTTTACCTGGAGTCACCATGTATTACAGGTTAAATCGTATCAAAACACCATTTTTCTTAAGAATGGTTGAGTAGTACCATATTTTAAGGCAAGAACTGTTGAGTATTGCCATTTTCATATGGTTCAACCTAACACATTATAATCTTTAACAACATATGTCAAACAGTATTAAAATAAGTCTGACGGTATTCTGAAAACAAGATTGCTGACTTTGAGATCAAACTCTTGTCAGTTTTCTAGAAGTTTAATGCAATTACTAGTGGGATACTGTACTCTTCAAGGAAAATGCAATGCTTCTGAAGACCCAAAGGGCTTAAGACAAGGATGAAACTGGGTCATCAACCTGCAGACAAGAGCTTATGGATTGAAAAGTCACACATCCCTGCATAGTGTCTTTGGATCTAGTTTTTGGTCCCTCTTTCTTATATTCCCTTTTCCTCTCCAGACTGCTACATGTTCTTGAAACTTCTTATGGCACTGAGGACTGAAGACTACTACCTCCCAGCCCTGGACAAGCCTAGAATGAATGCTTAGCCTAGAGCCTATCCAGATTACAGCAGGGCAATCTCTTTCCTTGACAATCTTCTCCTTGGGTTCAGTTTTTCTTACTTCTTCCTAGCATCACAGATATAAGACCCTGAGGAAAATTATTATACAGTATGAGTCTAAGGAAAAGGGGTCAAAGAAACTTGCTTTTAGTCTAAGTCAGGAGTTTGCAAATTCTTGAAATGTGCCTTGGAAGAAGGGGTGTGAACTACAAGGGTAGGCTTCTTCTCATTTTCAACAGCTCTATTTAAATATTTTGTATATTGGGTTTCCACATACAATTTAAATAGGAAAGAAGGAGGGGAAAGGTTCTACTGCTTAAAAAAAATAAAGGCTGAAAGGCTATGGGCTATGTAGGGTTTAAGCTTCAAGTGGGAAAAGAAGCTTTTCATTTTCAAATTTGGTCTAGTTCAAAAGAGTAGCCCCAGGGGTTCCAGATAACAAGTAGGGGGCCAAAGACTCAGTAACAGACTGGTTCCTTCCAGATTATCCTCCGAATACTTTCTTAGAAACATGTGACAAACACTGGCTGCTAGTGGAAGATCTGGGTTTTTAAGATTTCCCTTATGTCGCCCTCTCCCTTGCAGACATTCCTTTTTTCCCCACCTCATTTCCCCTACTCCCTCCCCCAAAATTCAACTCACACATTAAGGTAGCTTATGGGAATAAAAATCTGTAACAATTGAACTTTGCAACAAATGGTTATTTTAAAATCGGTTTTTAACATGAAAGATATAAACTGACCTGTTGTTGTACACTATACAAGGCCTGCTGAGGTTGTGAATATTGCTGTAAGATTAAAAAAAATTTTTTTTCAAAGAAAAATATGGATAGTAGTTGTATTCATTCTCAAAAAGTGATATGCATACACAGAAATACGTAGCCAGAATTACACCAAAAAGAAATTTTCTAGAACAGCTAAACTTCATCTAAAATAAACAAAAACAAAAAGAAAGAAAATAAACAAAAACAGATTACTTATACTCTGGGATCAATCAAGAACTGAATTTTGCTCAAATAATTAAGGTATAAGAACTGCTCAATTCTAGAACTTAAGAATTTAAGAATTTTGACTATGCAACCACACTTCTCTATCTGTGCTAGGCATATAATTTTTATCACCAGAAAAAAAACAATAAGCATAATTAAAAACTCACTTCTTCATTCTTTAAAAATTACGGTAGCAACCCTGGCTACTCTAATTTTATAAAGTTTTTTGCCTCACATATTAAAATCTATTATATATTCACCTGTTGCAATGCAGCTGCTGCAGCTGCGGCCTGTTGCTGCAATGCTGCAGTCTGAGTTAATTGATAGTTTGCTGGGGTTTGTGTGGTAAGTCCTGCTGCTGCCAATGCAGTTTGCTGTGTATAAATGGTAGGAGATGCTCCAAGGAGTGATGGTTGCTGAACACCCAGTGCAGCTAAAATGAGATTAAAAAGAAAAAAAAAAATTCAAGATTACTTGGATCTCTTTCAGGAATTTTCCACAAATGCTTAGTTGGGCATTATGGTCTGCCATTGTTTACTAAAAAAATAAAGAATTTCAGTAATGCTTGTTGAATTTAAATGATTCATGTCCCCCCAGATTCCAATGGCTTCATATTAAATGTTCATGCCATGGTAAATATAAGAAAACCTTACTCTACAAAATTAATCTTCAGAATAAACACAACCAAACTTACCTAGACCAAGGTGCTCAAGAAGTATTTTTAGGAAGAAAAACAGAAAATAAATTATCTTATTTTACTAATTTAGAATTTACTGTCTTATCTTCAAGTAGGTGAGAAACATTAAAAGACAGTGATGCTGCATTGTTGGTGGGACTGCAAAATGGTGCAGCCTCTATGGAAAATGGTATGGAGGTTCCTCAAACAATTGCAGATAGATCTACCATATGACCCAGCTATCCCACTGCTGGGAATATACC